CAAATTCCTATTTCTTTCCTTCTGGAAGTTGTGTGGAAAATAATCACCGAAATTTACGATTTATTAAAATCATTATGATCTGAAAGCGACTGTCTAAGCCTAAATTATACTAAAACGAAGGTTGTTGTAGTATTTTAATATTTGTGGCATAAACCGGCCTGAACTACGAATTTAATGAATAAAATATTTTAATTACTTGTTTTTACTTAGTAGCTAAGGAGTATAGAGAAACGAAAAAGATGGATGTTGCCACTTGCTAAATTTAGAAAATAATTCTCTATCTTGGTTTCTTTTAATTTGAAAGCGAACTTTTAATTTTAGAACGTACTTTGTATGAAGCATTAAATAAAATCTATACAGGCATTTTTTATTTTGAAAATGTCGCGGGCATTTCATGAAAAGTACACCCGAAAATTAAAATAATCTGTTTCAAATTCATAGGGCCGCAACATCAGCAAAATCGATTGGGGAATGTCAATTTTGGGAAACATTTTGGGGCGTTGTTCACAGTCGGTCAGACATACGTTTACCCATCATTCGAATTTTCGTTATCAAAGACCCACAAATTATGGATTCTAACTACACTAAGTGTTGGAGGCTTTCTTAAATTTAGCAACTGGATTTATACACTTTTTCGTTATTTTTGCCCGGCAGTGAGTTCTTCTGCCAAAAATTTACTGTTTTTTCGAGCAGGACTACAGTACTTTCTCTCTACTGACTAAGCGGTAGCGAGATAGTAAAACTCTCCCCAATCTCCATTGTTCTGTCACACTCGTCAGGAAACATTTGCTACACATAGGTAGTAGAGTTGACGTCGCTCGCACGACGAAATACTTCTACTACCTCTAATATGTCCTCATACAGACAAAACGATATGTTTTGATATTGGAATTTTTTACTAATGTGATAACTACCAATCACTAATAACAAGCAGATTTGTAACAATATAATCTATGACTCTCATATAATTTCACTGGTACCATTTAATATTTTAAAAATATATTTATTACAAATCCTTAATAATAAGAAATGTTTGATAAAAAATATAATCCATGATCCTCGTATCAAAGTTTTAATGAACCTCTGCAATGTCTTGTGCATTTTCTACATATTTTTTATGTGCATTATTGGATTGTAATATAATACTTAACATCAGTTTCAATTGATTCCTCAACGTTAACTTATGCTGTAGTTTAACTAATAAACATAAGGTGGTGGTATGGTAAAATGGTATGGACATATATTGGTAATGGATTATTAACATTTCATGTAATTGAAAATCCTTATAGCACTCCTAGTAAACTCCTTATAGCATTAACATAAATTCCATTTTACAACAATTTAAATTTATATTGCGAAATTCATAATTACTTACAATAGGTCTTATAAATCAAATATGAATAAAAGTTAAACATTTTGGAAACATTTCTGAAAGGATGTAGTTGCACAACATCTTAATGCAACGATAACTTTTAGTAAGGGGGAAATCGGCAATCCTCGTTCAGTCATTGGGACTTTTGTCGATCATCGGCACATGTGTATCCACTACAGTTGTTTTATTGAAACGAAACCACTTTCGGAATTGTTCATCATTCTACATTTTCTATGGGTTGCTCGTATCTCTAATATATCTCTCCGAATTTCGCAGGATGTGTTGAGTATAAAACTCAAAATAATTATTGAAGGAGTTTTTCATAACATGTTTCACAAATGATAGATTTTAAGTGCCTACACAATATAAACCAGCAAAACGAATTCAATAGTCGGTGAAAGTCGCGTAAAAGTGTAATCTAAACTGGTTACGACTGACGATGCGAGGGATTCATAAGGGACAGTTTAGGGAGCAGGCTGCCTTGCTTATAGGAATGCGTGCTCACTTACGACTTCAGGGTTACGACTCAAGGGTTGTTTATGAATACGATTCGTCCACTTAGGGAACACTCAGTGTACCAGACGACTATGAATTCGGCCCATAATGTGGATTCCATTGCTGGAAACTGTGACCCTTAACGCAATAATTTCGTAGAGCTCCTCACAAACATTTAACAAACTGTGTGAACTCTTCTGTCCTCGAATTTGATGGTCTTCCTGATTTCCTTGTATCGGCGACTCTACTTTTTTTTTAAATAAATTTGGATTGACAGTTTTTAAATGTTTTTGCATCCAGTGTTGTATGGATACCTCTTTCAGCCTTCCGCCACCTTCCACTCGCATTACAGATCCGAAGATCTCATAAGGAGCTGCTATTCTGGACCACTCTTTGACACTCATCACCGGTGACTTTTTTAACTGAAATAAAAGTGTAAATATTTTATCGAATCCCCATGAGTACTCTCTAACATATTTGGTTGTAAAACTATTAGCTCAGAATTGTAGCTATGCAAAAACAGGGAGTGACTTGTCAGCAGGGCTCGGATTCTGATGATCAAAAATTTCTTTGAAAGTGATTTACAAAATTATTTCAAAATAAAAGATTAATGATCTATAAAATTTAAAAATAAGGAGAAAATTACCTATTTCTTTAAAATATCAAAAATGTGTGAAAATGTTTGTTTAATGAATGAATTTTACACTATTAAATAAAATTTATTTATATAAAATTTAATTTAATATAAAGTATTTATTTTGGTGATAGTGTAGTCCTTCGCTCCAGTCTTCCAACTCTGGTTTGAAAGGCCGAGGAAGTGTGAGAGTTGGAAGATCAGTCTATGATTATTACTTACGATCATAAATTTCGTCATGAAGTGAAGCAATAACTTATTTGTTTTAGTGTGTCACTGTAAATTCATAAAACATTCTCTTACAAAAAGCACTAAAAGGAAACAAAATGCGTAAAATGACAAAAATTACGCAAAGGTCCTCAAAAACGACCTAAAAAAGGAAAATTGGCAAACAATGACTCCAAAACAATACATTTGTATCACCTATACTTTATGCCGTGATTAACACACATTTACAAGTCAGCTAGAATGCACCAATGAAAAGATGACGTTATCAGAATCCGAGACCTATACTTGTCACTCTCTAGTATGCAGAGAATTTTCAGATTTTAGAAAAATTGCCTCTCCTCCACCAGCGGTTTTAGCATTGTATCTGATTCAAAAGGATGGAATAAAACTGCCAAGTTGGACGCACTGATTATTCTTAAAGTTGGTTTCTTGCAAGGAGGGCACTGGGGGTTCATTTCATTAAAGAGAAGTTTTAAAAGTGTCTTCATGCACAGAAACCATTGCAATTCAATCGTATAATGTTCTTTGTTGACACTAGTATAATTGACTGAAATATTAGTTACTAGTCTATTGGTTCTTGGTCAGTCACTTCTGGAGGAGTTTCTTTTATATCAATTTTTTACAATTAAAATTAACACAGACTCTAACACTTCTTCAAGGGAACGTAAAATATATTTCTCTTAACATTCTAACTAAATCAGGCAGATCAGTAGTAAATATATTCGCTACGTTACTAATATAATTAGTTCTGTCTAGTAAATTAATTTAAAGTCTAGTAAAGGCAATTGTAGCAAATCAGTTACAGTAAATTTATTTAAAAAAAGAATGTACATAATGTCATGTGATTCTATTATTCTTTGCAAGCCGTCCATTGTAAATTTTCGTTTCTGTCAGATTTTATTTTAATTTTGTTCGGTAAACTGCTTGTAGTTCTGCGTGAGACACTTTGGGATAGTTTTCAAATATTAGGGCTGAAGGTCGCATCAACATCAGTGATGTCTGATGTGGCAGCAGGCGTGGGAGCTGGGAGAGTTGGGGGAATTTGACGGCGTTGGGCAAGTGAAAGTGGGAAGGGGATGTAACATGTTTGGAGAGGGACGGTAAACCATTTACATACGCAAGTTCCTTTTGTCCTTTATTATCGTTTGAGGTATTTGTCCAACGACTCAATTGTGTTCCATAGGGCAGTCTCTATTGACACTTGAAAGTATTCCGGTAACTTTTTATGACTCCCAGTGCGATGAAGGCCTGCTAGCAAAAATTCACTATGTGAATTAGCCTGCGGTTGGAGAAGCTTTTTCTGGGAAAACTTTGGTACCTAAACTCAATAATTTATTTTATAGTACGTTATGAATAGGGCACACATTTTCGTATGTTTTTCTCTTATTTCGAGATATTAATGGAGAAATGAGGAACTCGTGAACTGACACTCTGATTGACTTAAAATTCGGTAAGTAGTGTATCTGCTGTCGCTTTACTTGTAAGGTCGAAGGACAGTCGGTTTGATATATTGGATGCAAATTTGATTTGTGAGGGGTGTAATTTTAGTGCTTGAATGAAGTCAATAATTGGGGCAGAATTTTCTGAATCGATAGTAGTATCCTTTTTAGGACAAATAGAACCTTGGGGTGCTTGCGTGTAGCTCATTCTGGCTGACTTGTGGAATTGGTGGATGGTCGATCTCGTGGTGATTCATATTGATTCTTCTTTGTTGTTGTATATTTAGTACAATAAACACATACCAAAAATCACACACAAACACAGAAGATGTAGGTAGTTAGGTATAGTTAATTATTGTTTATCTATTATAACAACTTGGAAAGTTACAGTGTAAACATGTGTCCCGCAACCCTGAGGAGGGAACTATAAAGCTCCTAAACATTCGCAAACTAGACGTTTTTAATGAAGTGAGCAACAACAATTTCTAGAATTAATAGTGTGGTTATGAATTCAAGAACTATTATGTAAGAAAACTGTATAATATTTACTTCAGTCTACACTTTAAGAAGAGTTAAACTGAATATTCGGCGTTATCACACAACTAGATGCTCCGGCAGAAGACGTCAGACCAGCGACGGAACCCCCCCTTTTGAGTTGGGTGCTGGAAAACGGGTATGTTTTAGCAATTGAATATTTTGGCACCATTTGCTTACATGAGGTTACGGGGCAAATTTATTTCCTTAAATATCATTCTACTTATCAAAATGAAATAAAATTGAAGTGGGCAGAAGAGAGTGTGCTTAAATAACAGATCTATACACTACATCAATAAAACAAAAAAAATCAAATGAAAAAGAGCAATTTATTTAGGGATTTTGTTACACGTCTGCCAAGCACTCAAGACAAAGGATGATCAAGTTAATCTTCATTTTTCCACTTCAATCAATTTGACAAATGGGTTTTATGTACTAGTTAGAAATATTCATTACAAATTTGGATTTATATTATGCCTTGTCTTTCCACACGTTTGCATAAGCACTTACAATGAAATCAAAGCTACAATTTTTGCAAAAATAATGTAAGGCAACTGAAATATTGAAATGTTTTTTGAAGAAAAGGTATTACCTACTTATACTGAAATGCTTTGCAGCAAATATTTCATCACTTTTATTGATGAGCATACGACATATAATAAGCATGTGGCTGACCAGAAAAAAAATCAGTTGATATTTAGAGTACAGTGGTAAAAGAAATGTCATTTGTCTTACCTATCGATCAATTAGCTTACTGAAAATACATGGCACAATTTCCAGTTACATAAAATCATTTTTCTGGTTAATAACTCATTTACAATAATCTCACATAAAATAAAACTCTCATTCTTGAGCATTGCAAATCACTGAATGAAGATACTAAAATATAGACTGACTCATTAAAACAAAAACAAACAATGAACAAACAAACAGAAAATTTTGTGGCATTGTTTTCTTTACAATGGCAAGATGAATATAAAAAGTATAATATAATCTGTACAGATAGAGAAAATGCAATACTGATATACTTATTTGCATTTTACGAGTGTTCTGTATTGGTTGTTTTCACAGATCTAGCCCTTTATATTTACATACAATATTTCTATGGCAAGTTTTAATCAAACATCACTCTTAAAAAAACAATCTATTATCTAGTACAGAACCCCATTAAGACTGAATTTCCCAAGAACATCATGTTTCTTGCACTAAAGTAAATAACACTGTATTATACATTACACATTCCTTTTGGAGATCTAATAGTTTCCTAAACCTGAAACTGCAAATTTAAAATAGTTCATTTGCAGCCATCTTACACAATTATTTAGATATCTTTAAACAACATAGTGTATTTCGATAGTAATAAAAAAAAGACATTCTTAAATTATCATCTAAATTCTACATCAAGTATAAACAGTTAATTGTTGCTCATACACGTATGTTGAAAACACAGTATATGCAAAGGATGAATTTCATAAATTTAGAGAACCATGTAAATGTGATGATTCCCACATAGAAGTTCTTCAGAAGTAAGATTGGCACATTTGAAGAGCATTGAAATTGGTGGGTATACCAATTAACACCAATAAGGGTTATACTGAAGCCCAGAGACATAAAATGGAACAGTTTCAGCTTCATAATTTTCACACGTTTCGGCATAAAAATTGTATGGCATTATTCTCAATCCAAAGATTACATCAGTAAATGAAGCGAAATTCTTCAATAAGATTGGTTAATGTAAATATTGCATAAAGTCACTTTTATGTACCAAAGCATGTAAACCTTATGAGCTGAAAGTGTCTCATTACACTTAGAGTGAAAATGAACCACCCGTAGCTTACCATTACGAAGAAATCAAATTATATTCGATTTAACCGCAATGAGTCATTAATTTGATTAACCACTGATACAACACAGGAAACAAAGCTGGTCTGCCAGACGTCTGCGGGCAGGACTATAGCAGCTAAGTTCGTCCAAGAAGCAAAATGTCTATATGAGAAAGTAATACTTCTCGCTTCTTGATCGTGTAAATAGCCGCCTGCTCACTGTGCCATCTTCCTCAAAAGAAAGCATTACAAAGTATAGTGGTTGCAAATAAGCGGTGGGTTTGCTCCTTCAAAAAAGTTCATCATACGATACGCGTCACTTTTGGGGCCTCCCAGCTCTTTTGCAGCTGGCGAATGACCCTCGTCGCCGGCGTGTATCGGCGACTTCCACGTCACTTTGTCCAACGATCCTCGTCCCCTCGTACTCAAAGTGCAAAATGTATTTTCAGCTTCCCAAAGCTGAGCGAGACACACACTGGGGGCTGAGAAACAGCGGCGGCCGCGTTCCCCGAGCGGCCGCTCGGCCCCAGCTGCGAATCCGGCTGCCTCGCGGGGCCGACGCCTCAGTTGTAGGGCCACGAGTGGCGCAACGTGATGGCGTGGTGCCCCGTCGTCGGGGTGTTGATGGCCGGGTCCTGCGATGTGTCCCGCTTGAGCCACCCTCACTTTTTCAGGTCTCCGATGTCTTTGGGTTTGGTCTCCATGTTGGACGACTGCTGCGATGACGTCACAGAAATGTGAGCTCCTGTGTTGTTGCCCGAGGGGTACACCTTGTCCAAATGCTTCAGAGACTCCGTCAGGAAATTCTGCAAAGAGAAAGATTTAAATCAATATTTATAAAAAAATTATTTAAGACAACAGCACACTTAGCCTTTCTATCTTGCTCGCACACCACATTCAATCACGCACATCGTATTGGTGTACAAGGAGGAGGAGAACAACACACGTAGACATAAATAAAAAGCTCCATCGACTTTCTTGCAAGGTACAAGTTGACAGTTCAACCCACTTTCGATGTAAACGGCTTTAAATTTATTTTCATTCACTTTTGTATACGCAACGACACATAACATATATATGAGGGTAATATTTCAATTTCTTTAATTTGACTGTTTAGAACTCCAGATACATTCAAGCACGTTTTAATGCGTTGGACAAAGGCATTGTAATAAATGTTTTTATTAATGATTTGTATTTCGTCTATATTTGACATCAAGACAATACAAGTGCAGACACGGTCTACTGGAATAGAAAATCACAGATTTGTAATTTATAATGTCAGGCGGTCTGCCGACCTGAGAACAAGAAATAAAAACATCAGTCAAAAAGGATTTAAACGTTCTGGAATGAGGGCGTAAAGTTTAGTAGAACCAGTAGCTTTAACCAGAGGCGTAAGTTAATTTTTTAATATGAATAAATGTGTTATGTTTATTTTGAATTTGAAAGCGGTTTAATTTAATATTTTGAGAAAGTTGCTTCATTCAGACCTATGGTGTATACTATAGAATCATTGGCCCAAAATAAATATTAAAATAATATTTTTATTCTCTCCATTAAATAGATTCATTATATTTTTGATTAATGGAAAATGTAAAAAATATCTCCGCATAGTGTTCTTTCTTCCTCCTTCTACAGTTATCACTAAACTCTTACTTTACACACACACACAAAGATTTTCTGACACGCACACCACACTGAATAAATATAATTTTTAATCAAAATTGAACGAATGCTGTATGTGAGAAGTACATGGGGAGCAACATATCAATTATCAATTTAAACAGAAAATACACTTTGAATGGGTTATATCTCTGAAATGAACTTTTCTTCATTGATGAAAAATAATATTATTTAATATGGCACAACTATTTTACGTTCAAAAACCTAAATCTTTAAAACTTTGCTTTAAACTAATTTTACATAAATACATTTTCAACTCTCATGCGTGGGAACTACTAGATTTTAACTTCACTGTTCATCGACTACGTAGTGTTAAATCTAGTTTGCGATGCGAATACCGAAAAGAAGTCATGGACTTAAAAATAATTGAGCGCTGCAAAGTAAACACAATATGGCCTCCGCCTCGCATAAGAAGACCCCAAGAGTATATACTTGTTATTTTCGTGAATTCGAACTAAAAAGAAGTACGAAACTCGTGCAAAAACTTCTTTGGCGCACTCGTTTCAAAACACCGGTGCGACAGCAGCCTCGGCCCTCCTTCGCACGCCAAAAACTCACTCTCCGATGTAATTGAAGGGCTCACAAGAACAAGGACGTTCAGAACATTTTAAAACCTTTAAACACAGCACACTTGAATGCAAGTCCATACTGAATGTAAGTAAGTGCATTACGCAAAGGCCGCGCACCTGAATGGCGGTGAGCGCCGCCACGATGGCCGGGCTGCCGAAGCCGTGCGAGATGAGCGAGAAGTGCGTGAGGTGGCGCTGGATGCTGGGGTCCAGGATGTGCTGCGGCCGCGTGTTGCACAGCGGCGACCTGTCCTGGTTCAGCAGGTCCATCAGCTCTTTGGTGATCTGCCTGCAACGCACAACACATCTTTACAACTCTCGGCACTTGGAAATCTCGGCGTAACCACTTTCATTCTACAAGTAAATTAAAAAAACAATACGAGGATTGTCAAAAAATTCCTTCCCATTGTACAAAAACTCCTTTAATAAAATTTATACATACGCAATCCCCTTTTAATAACATTTATTATTATTATTATTATTATTATTATTATTATTATTATTATTATTAGATAGAATCACATTCAGGCAAAACAACATCACTATTCAATCACTAGCTATCTTAAACACGGAGTCATCCTTCTGCAGTGATGCTATTCTCCATTTTACCAATTCGTTTTCTCACGTGTAATAGAATCGCGTGCGGTGGAATGGAGAACGGATGCGACATCGATGTCAATGTTTTAACATCTGTATTTTATGTATCGGTATATTAAAGTTGGTGTTTTTTTAACATCGTTGATTTGGACTTTGGGTTTTACGTTTTTGATTACGATGATCTTGGATGAAAATTTCGCCCAATCACCTTTTTATATGTCCGAAACAAGCCAACAACGTTTATTTACTCTACTACGTTTATCGCGGAGACTATCCCTCGTCCTAATGTTGAAATACTTCCTTCGTCTTTCATCGTATTTTACGCGTGAAGAGGCGATTTACAACTTTATTTTAAATTAAATCTTAATTATAAAGTAATATACACGACCACTGTCAAATGAAATTTCGTTGCGCATGAATTCAATGTTGCAGGTTACTAAATCGGCTTTGGAACGTCGATGTCTAAGAGCATCGATGGCTGCTGGTCTGCGTGGGCGTGCGCGACTTACTTGGTGGCGTGGATGAGCTCCTTGCGGCGGTACGAGTCGCCGGGGTCGGTGTGCTGCCGGCTAAGGTACTCGGCCACCTGCCGCGCCGGGAACTCCGTCTCGCACACGTAGCCGAAGTCCCGCGCCAGGTGGATCGCCTCGCCTGAACACACACACACGCCCTCAATTAGCGTAACCAACAATTAACACTTACACACACACTCACTCACACAATAAATAACGCATCTTCCTACAACTGCAATATTTCATACTCAGTTTTTCCTGAATGAAACAGGATCTTTAAAGACATCTTGGAACAAGGGCATGAAAATGTTTCCCTAAATATGAGTAATTTTTGCGTGAAATATGGGCAATGTTTAAGCAATTATTTTCTCAAAAAACCGCTCCTAGGGCAGAATGTTTTCCACGGATAGAACAAGAAACGCAAAAACATTGGGGAAGGTCTCATTCTCTTTGATCACGCTGAATTTCGGAAATTGCAAATTTGGAGATGACGCGAGAAAGAACGGACTGTTGTAGCACCCCGAGTTTAATTTTACGACGAGTCGGGCGGAAGAAAAGGCCATGGCCCCCAACACCTCTTCCCCGAGGAAGCCATCCGTCAAGGCCGCGGGAGGTCTGATCGTCGGCCCCGGAGACGGATGGCGCTGGTTCGACGCCCGCCAGGCGAGGGTTTCGCTCTTTATGATTCCGCCGCCCCGGCCTGCCCTCTGGGCGGAGGAAGACGCAGATTTATCGGGGTGTGAGGTGACACTCGCTTCTACAAGGAGGATTCAGCGGCCCAAGCCATTCAGCCTTCCTGGTAGGTTTTCTTCGGAGAAGCTAGACAAGTGGAACATAAACGCGAACTTCCCTAATAGCCCTGGTTAATATCTCAACTCATCCGTAGATGTCATAAATTTAATTCATCTAGTTTGCGTTGTATTATTCATAATATTAGACTGCAATGCATAACAACTACGTTTTCACAGTTATGAGGTTAAACGGAAACATTAAGAAAATTTATTTACAATGCGTCTGATCATGATACTATCCAAATGTATAAAGTAAATTTATCATATGTACGTTAAGCGCACTAGACAAAGGGAAAATAAACGCATGGGTAAACTTGAAGTTGATTTTCCGGTTGCACGAAAGATGGTGAGCTACAGAATCGGGTTTCTTTCCGTCAGCATCATATTTGAATGGGGAAATGGATTTTGATCATAAAAAACATTAATATCAATATGATGAAAATTGTTAGGGTAAAGTATTCTAACGTGCATTTCCAACCGATCAGTGAAAGTAATAAAATTGAAATGGTCGCATCTTGAACGCCTTTTGAAAACATGCCTTTTGAACAGATGAATATAAAGGAATACTTCGCGTCCTGGGAGGCAGCTTTGCCGCAATCTTTTCTAGACACGGGTTTACATTGCGGCCTCAAAATGAGAAGGTATAAGCGTTTTGCCGAAAATATGATTATTATTAAACTCTTTTTGGTCAGATCTAATACACGTTCAAACGATTTTGAAATCAAACTTGTAAAAAAGCTATGACAAAATTTTAAAAAATGTGCAATTTTACGTATTTTTATAAGACACATCCAATCACCGAAAATGCTCTCCTATAAAATACTTTCCAATCCAGATGGAAGTTTGGCATTCTGAGGCCGTGCCTTGAGGAAGAAGTATTGGACAAAGGCGCAGTCTTCAGAATAGACAATGTCTCGCACATCCCCTGGGAATTGATCGAAAGAAACTACGCAAAGGACTAAGCCGAGCAGCCGGACTCTAGCGTTCTTATCCACGCAGTAACAGGTTCTATCCCAGTTATTTGGCTGCTGTCGATAATATTACCTACGTCGGGGTTCAAACGTAGAACCTCCCGGACGCGAAAGCTTCATTTTCGTATTCGAAACGCCCTTCGTTATCCAGAATATTAAATGTACCCATAGACTGAGCAATAGGAAGTATTTGTTCTCAGAGCAATCCACGTAGGGTTTTTGCCTCATAATTAAAGGTAAGTGTGCAGCAACGCAGCACAGGAGCGAGCGGGGGACTCCAGCCCCTTTAATTCGCGGTTTCAAAAGAGCGCCTGTCTACTCTGGTGAACCGTGGAACTCGGTAGTCGCTATACATCGTGTGAAAGTCATCAACCTCTCCGCCGGAGAACCAATTTACTCTGGGCAGACAGCAGGTAATTTACTGGGCTCCCAACAAGTGCATTGCCCCGGCCCCAAACCGCGACTAGCGAGTGGCAGTAGTGTCAGATTTCCGCTTTCCGGGCGAGCAGCCGGGCTGGACTTGTTCTCTCGTTCGCGCCGACTGGTTGGGAGAATGGCGCGGAGGCGGTGAAAGCGGAGGCAGACGAGCTTCAGAGCGAGGACATGGAGTACGGCGAGGTGGGAATGGCTTGAATCGACGTAGATCGTCATTGCTCGCACAACGAGATACGATAGCTGTCGACGAAACTCGAGGCTTAAATATAAAAATTCACGGAAAAACCTCTCCTTGAAGGGTTTGCTCCCCCCGGTAGTAAATTTATCTTTGATGCTTCCTACTTGGTTTTTCGCACAATGAGATTAACAATCATATTAAACCGGGTTTTACGATGCCTGTGTCCGATTGATACAAGAGACATTTCCCCTGTTCCGTTTTACCCTTCCATCCTATTATGAGCGTGTGTGACCGCGAACGGACGATAAAAATCTCACCAATACATTTTCGTTAGGGGAGGTGTTCGTGGTTGTCCGCCCTTCGAATATCAGTGGGGAGTAACCCGTGCGCCGAGTACTATCCTCCACTGACAAGAGCGACGCGCCGTCCCTCTGTCAAAAGAGCACCTTCCCGAGAACAAAGACGAGTGAAGGCTGGGACGGAGGAGAAGGGGGCACAATCAAACGGCCGCTGTGCTGATAACACGAGAAGCTGTAGCGTCGAACCAAAACTAAGACTTGTGAGCACTTGCGGGGTACCACTAACACAAGGCACGCACATTGAGATAGGTAAACCTATGCATGTGCTCGTGTTTAGACCGTCGAAGAACTATTGAACTCGAGACGCGCAACTAAGCAGGTAAAATGGGCATCTGTGTACAACTCCGTTGCGGTTAAACCGAGATTCCACTCCCACGCGTGCGGTTCCAGCTGCCCCCACGCGTGTCGCCGTCCCTTTACTCTCTGACAATGCACAGAAGGCATAGGACGGTGCCTGATAGAAAATGGTGTAGTGGGTATAAGGGATGGCTGCGACTTTCTAAGTGTCGAATGAAGAGAGTCGTTGACTTGGAGGCAATCGTACTTACGATTTTTTCTCGGCCAGACAGACTTTGTCCCGCGAACAATCAAACCCACGAGTCGAACTGCTGGTGACTATCGGGCGAGTGTAGAGTATTGAACGGATTTTCAGGTCACGCGATTTGTCGTAGTCATGACAACTGATGGTTGAAGTTAACAACGATTTCAGATGAAAAAAGGTGATTGAAGTGGGTAGGGTGGTTTGCTCGAGAGTAGGTGAGAACAGTGTGAGGTAACTTTGGGCTTTCGTGGGGTGTTAGAACAAACATTAGACGCCATCAGATCTGCGTCTAGCGACCGAGTAAATTGTGGGAAGACGCTGTGAGTGAGTAGTGATTTCGGGCGCCATTAGTTCCTTAGGCTCAGCGCTTGTTCTTATGGCGGGAGGTGGCTGTGATGTTTCCCCGTGGACGGCGAGATCCGGCGCCGACCACGGGCGGTTTGTGAGGACTTTCCCCAACCAAGCGTGGTGCCGCCCCAACCGGGACAAGCTCTAAGCTCCCTACATGTGCGGCAGAGTAACGTGAGGATGTAAGTAGTGAGGATGGAACAAAGAAGAGGAGGAAACATCGTGAACGGTCTGTGGCCCTCTTGTTAGGGCAGTGCTCCGGTGTTCGCCTGGTGTTGATCGGAGAAACGAAGGAAAACGACCGATCAGAGCAGCCGGCGGCAGGAATTGTCCTCCAGACTGCGACTGAATGCGCCCTAGCTGGGGAGTGGAAGAAGAGAGCCTCCCGGTCAGAGGCGCTGCAGTGCCACCAGAAGCTGCTGCCCTGAGCCACCTCAGCCGGTCGGGCGGCGTGCGAGCGAGCGGATGGGCGGCGGCGGCGGCGGCGGCGGCGGCGGGTAACGGGCCGCGGGCAGCGCGCTCGCATTTATCTGGCGGGGCGGCGCGGGGCGGTGACGTCATCCGCCCATTGAGTGGGCGCGCCCGCGGGCCCGTTAGCCGGAGGCGCCCAGGGCGCGCCGCCCCCTCGCCCCCCTCGCCCCCTCGCCGGCTGACTGATAGGGGCTGATTTACGGGCTGTTAAGTACCTCAGGTGCGGCCAGAAGATCATAGCGTTCGGCTCCCACCCAGAAACAATTGCCCGCCCACAAACGGGACAGATATCGATTATTGTTCGGAGGAAATTATTTTCGACTAAAAAAGCGACCAACCTCGAAATTGGCCTTTACTCATTTATGGCGCAAAAAACTTTATTTCTTATTTCTGTTAATCCATTTAAAAAATCTTCTAATGCTGATATTTTAGCATTATTGTTTTTCAAATGCACAGGAATGGTTTGAAGTACAAGAATTTTCTGTCCGGCTCAAAATAATATTCTGGGAGTAAAGAATTTTTTTTCTCAAGAAATGTCTGATACTCAACTCTGGGAATGATCGTGAGGAAATCGATAAGTGTTTAGATCAAATACAAAATGACACTGCTGCATCTAATTCATGTATTAAATTAGTGGCATCAATTTCTTAACTAATGAATTATATTGTGAACTCTCCTCAAAAGGATTCGTTATATTTGTTGCACTGACTGAGAGCGACATCTGTTTGACATCAAACAGCTGCCGCAAAATATTGCAAGGCGAAGACATGTGAAGGGAAAGAGGAATTACTGCTCATTCATAAACTCAGCTTGTAAAACGTAATGCATTAGTTTTGTACGATGTTTTCATTTGACATATGAGATGGGGACGTATGTTATATCAATTAAACACAATATCAAGGGAACTTTTATGTTATATGTGTGTAAAAGTTTTGAAAAAATAAAAAAAATTACATAAAACATTTTTGCCAGAATAATAAAGAAGAAAATGATCAATTTGCATAGTGAGGTCATCTTACATCAAGGTGGTTTTTACCACCATACT